TGTTTTGCCACAACCCACCATCACTCTCTCCTGCAAATAGACGGCCGGTCCAGCATGGCATAGCATGTCGCTAGGGCGGCGGCCTTGGGCCAATAATCTGCCTTCTCGCGCCTCCGACTCCCAGCCCCGGACCCCCGCGATTCTGGCTATCACCACCCATATAGCCGTACTGGTGGACATCCCAGGTCTGACCGGGGCCACTCCCCTCTTTTATATCTCTGGCCCTTGAAGCAGTATCTTTCTGTGCCTCTTCCCATTCTCTCTGCCGTTCTCGTTCACGCTCCATTTCCCGCTCGAGGAGGGATTTCGAGGCCCAGCCACCGGCTTTCGTGCGCTGTTGGGATTCGATACGGCGTTTGTTTTCAAGGTCCACTTCGGTGGTGGTAGAAAAGTCTTGGTGCCAGTGGGACACAACATTTGGTTGAGAAGGCGCGGCGTTTGAGGCAAGGTAACGGTCGGTGCGATTCGTGCCGGGCTGATAAGTCGCTGGATCGGGCAGCGGACGGGAAGATGTTAATGGTGTAGGTTCAGGACGCGGTGGCTTGGGAGGCAGTTGGTCATCCTGGGCTTTCTGCCATTGTTGCTGCAAGTAGTCGCGCTCTGATGCCGCCCAGTCGTCCTCATGGCTTGTTTGGTCAATTTGTGTTCTGCTTGGTAGCGAAGTGGCTGGGGGTTCAGGCTCAGCCACAGGTCGCACGGATTGGCTTTGTCTCTGTTGGGCCTTCATCTCCTCTAGTTGTCGCTCTAGCTCTGCAATGCGTCTACTTTCAGCTGACTCTTGCTCGGCGATAGACTTTGATGGATGGGGCGAGGCGACAGAACCTCTCGCCTGTTCTGCTTGGTATTGACTGAGAAATTGTCCATTGAGACGAGCATCGCTGACGGTGCGCTGCCGACTTCGTGCCTGGGTCATGCGGGTTTCTCGGTCTGCATTATCTTGGGCTTCTCGCTCCCGATCACGTTCATAAGCCAGCTCTTTGCGACGCTGTTCTTCACGACGGACACGTTCTTCCTGTTGTAGTCGTTGTCGCTCGAGGTCTCGCTGTGCAGCCGCTTCCTGTTCTCTCAATCGCTGAGTTTCATGCGCCCATCTGCGCTCTTCTTCTAGGCGTGCTTGTTCTTCTTCTGCAGCTCGTTGAGCGCGCTGCTGCAGTTCAAAATCTTCTGCTTCAAGTCGCTTTCTCTCGGCCTCTTCTCTGAGACGCTTCTCCTTTTCTGCAAGGCCGGGGACAATGGGCGCAGGCGAGGTAATTTGTCTCCGTGCGCCGAAAGCGACCCCTTGATTACCTTGACTCGCTCCTCCCATGTACCCGTATTGATGAATATTCCACGCGGGTGCGGTCTTGATCTCGTCCGTCTTGTTACTCCAGCTGCTAACCGCGCCGCCGGAAGCCAGCCCTCCCCGACTTAGGATGTTCTTAGTTGGGCTGACACGTCCGGAATAGGCGGCCTTATTGAGGGGATTAAATGTGATGGAGGGGCTGTCAGCGGTTACATTGCTCGACCCTCGCGGTCGCGAAGTTGTGGTCGTGGTGTAAGCGGGAGATCTCGGTCCGCTTGAGCCTGTTCCCTGTGGACTCATGGCCGATTTGCTCTTTGCTCCCAGAGTTGCAGGGAACGCAGAAGGATTGAGTTGGTTCGCTCTGCGACTGAAGGCAGCAATGCATTGTAAGACTTGTGCGGGGTCCTTGGAGTCGTAGAGGTCGACGGTGAGGAAGCGATCATGAGAAGGCAAACTCAACGGTGGAATCTCGCAAGCGCGGAGGAAGTGGGAGATATTCTCCATCTGCACAAAGGGCATGTTGGACTGTTTATATTTGATGCCGGGGGACACGGCGAGATTGACAAGCCTGATGTTCAAGTCAGCTGCGCGGCCATGCTGGTCACAGGTATCCCATACTTGCAAAGGGCTACCCCGTCTCGCAGGGCATCCATCAGGTCGCCCGGCGACAATTTCTCGCCCAGAGTGCTTTCAATCCAGTTTCTCACTTCATTTGCAGCGCCGGGGGTATATCGCTCAAGGCGTAGTTTGCGCATGTCTTGATCGAGACTTGTAACCGACGCCATAGTTGCAGCGGAAGTCTGATGTTCCAAGGCTGCTCCCGATATTGAAGGGAAATCTATCAGCAGGTAGAGTCGTATCCAAGTGAAGAAATATAGGCCTGTGAGACCCGAAGGCGGCCGCGCATGCAGATGCAAAGGGAAGATGGCTGTGTAGATTGGTGTGGAGTAAGGGGGCCAACTGCGCGGCATAGGGCCTTGCTGCAGGTTGACGTCGATCGAAATATGTAGCCTCGCGCTCAATGTGCAGGGTTGTGTCCCTAGTTTAACTCACGCTACCTTCTACACTCGCAGTTGACACACAGCCATCAAGATGGGAGGAGTTCGAGACCTTTGGCTGCGATGGAAGATGCTTCGCCTGCCATGGAGGAAGAGATTTCTAGTTGGTCCGTGCAATCTGAAGGGGCCGAAGGCTGGAGTGAATGGACGCGGGCTGACATTACGACAGGTCAAGACCTCTACGGCAACACCTTTTGGGAGTTTAAAGATGCCCTCAACCATAATCGATGGCGGCGCATGGTGAAGGCTCGAGGACGAGCCACTCTCTCCTCCCTTTCAGATGTCCAGATCTCGCCGCAATGGCATCAATGGCTTCGCCAGACACGCAATGATCCTCCGACAATGCAAGAACAAGCCGCCGATGTGCAGAGACAGGCTCAACTTAAGATCAATGCCAGATTGGCCGATGAAAGATGGGCTGCAAAGGCAAGATACATCGAGAAGCCAAAGCCAACAGTCATCAACGCGCTGTTGTCGGCTGATCCTCGACAAGACGACGCTCATGCCGAACAATCTCCAGGTCAGCCACCTCAGCTAAAAAAGATGAGCAACACCATCGAGAGCAGCGAACATCAGCGGAGACAATCAAGTGTTACGGGCTCAAATCCGGGAGCAAATTGGGCTCCCGGAGTATGGGTTCCTGGTGCTGCAAAGCGATGACACCCAAACCCTTGGGCCTAGTCTGTCCCATTTACTGGGTTCTTTCGCCCTTACGAAGTCCGCCACTCAGTATGCTGTGTGACATCCACACAATGTACACCTCTAACTTTGAAAAGCCTCCATTAAGAATCCATGGAATTGAGCTGAATGTCCTCATCGGTTGTGCTTATGCTGTGTTAGCCAAGCTCCTCCGACTCCAGTTCCGATCTAATGGCTACTGCTACAAAACCTCCCCCAAGCTTTTCAGCCTGTCTAAACCGAGCTCACAAGAATTTGGGCTGTCTCAACGCGACCTCTCATTACCTCTGAGAACTCAACCGGCACTACATAACCTCCAAAGGTACTAATTCCGAGCTGATTTGTTGTTCAAAGTTCGTAGCCGTCATTGGTCGCGGTTGTTGACATCTTAAATACCGTGGCTCTACTATATCTCCTAATTGCATTGTTGGCTCATCAATGACTGACTTCTCCGCCCGGATTTCGATCCTTACAATCAAGATTCTGACTGATTTTGTGGATCTCAGTTTACGGCCCCGTGAGGTTGGTGGATCCAGGTTGTTATAGTCGCCATGGCCAAAGTCGAAGGGAATGCCAAAGTCGACATTTGCCGCTGTGGATATAAGAATACTCCGTTTTGCTGCTGAGGATTGAACTTTCGTCTCTAGAAGGCGTTCCAGGGTTCCTTGTGTTGACCACTACGAGTCTTTGTTGATGTGTTATTCTTGTATTTATGTTGAGATATCTTATGAAGAGAAGAAAAGTGCGCCTCAGAAGAGGTAAACTTTACTGAATTTTGAAAAGGGGCTCCCCAGCTCAAGGTTGACCTCGGTGGCGTTCGACATTGCCACGCTCGATAAGAGTGACAAAAACACGCAACGGGAATTCTCGGCAATGTTTGCTGCCGAAGCACTTGGTGGGGGAGCTGTTGGGCTTGCAGACATACTGTGACTGGGGCTGACTTCGCGCAAAGCGAACTAGAGAGCCTCATCAATCATCCGGAGCATGCTCGCGAATTGTCACTGAGGACGTCTTGCCTCGGAAACGACCATGCCATTTGGCAAACAGATCTCGACATTCATCGATCTGACTGCACGCATGGTAGCCGAGTCACTACAAGAGAGGATTTCGCGATATGTCGTACCAAGAGTTGACACAAGATGGTCTTGTGAAGGTGGCTACATCACTGCCCTGCGCGTTTGAAGCAGAGCAGTGAACCTCAATCTCCACCTTGCCGGAATCACCGAACTTATCGTTGCACGAAGGAAGACATAATAGCAATCATGGATTCAGCTGGCAACGAACGGATAGTCTACGCAAACGAGCCTGAGACAACTCTCATGAAAACTCTTATGGCAAGTCAACTCATCCAAGCCTTTCGAGCCAACGGGACGGGACTTGAGATACCTGGCACCCGGCTTTCCGAACGCACTTGTTCCAAGGAAGAGTGGGAAGTCAAAAAGGTTGAATGACAATATTGAGCATACAGTCCGAGAGCTCAAAACCTTGTCCGGACTTTGGTCGTTGCCACATCTGGTGATGGTCATACCCCTTTTTATATCGTTTGATCTTTCATGGACAATAGCTTATTCGGACGTCGAGACGGGCAGACATGGACAGTCACCAACGCCGAGACAAAAATTGGTCGGCCGGTTCGTGGCCCAGGGACAGCCTTGGAAGAAAATCCCGGAACCATTCTTTTAACAAGACCTAAACAGGTCCTCTGAACTTTGGACTCCCCTTCTTCTTTCCGCCCTTGTACGCCTCTGAATCTTACTTTCTATCTCATTCAGCCAACACCTCAAGGGACCTTCACAAAAACGCTTTTGTTGACTTCCACCACGGTCAATAACACAATTTTGGAGCGCAAGATCATCTCTTATCACAGATCCACCTTGCTCTAGACACTAGAAAGGTCGAAAGTCACCATCAACTGCGCAGCCGAGCGTATGAACCCAGCCTTTTTAATCTAAACAGTTTCTGAGACTTTCTCGCCCGTCACCATGGCGCCGCCCTTTTCCCCTTCGACCCAAGACGACCATAATGTAATTATTGGTCAAGTGATTGGCCAATCACGACTGCACGTTACCTTGCTTGGACAAACCCCAACCAACATTAACGTCAACCTGGATGATGGCATTGAATACTACTATTGCTGCAACGAGGACTGTGACTTTCTCTGGGCAATCCAGTGGAGCCCACAACCGCGGAAGAGATGCAAGAGGCCCATCGATTTGGACTCATACAAGGAGACAGCCATCCCAAGACTCTGTCGTCTGTGTCGAGAGGCGTTGAAGAAGGGTTCTGTGAAAGAAGGGGCACGGCGTAGGTTGAAGCAGGAGACAAAGCAGCAATGGGGGCCATTTGAGACATCAAAGAAAGAGATTAGTGGAGACAAGAGTAAGGTGATGTCTACTACTGGATTCGAGGATGTTCCCCTGGGCGATGTTAATGAAAGAGTAGACAAGACTTTGGCACAGGACTTGTCGTGGGATCTGATCGAGGAAAGCGGTGCGAATGAGGAATGGAGTGTCATAAACCACTTTGGCTCTGCTGCGATCGAACACAGGGATGCACATGTGGACACTGAACTTGTTCGACCATAAGAGCATCTTCTTCTTAGGGCCAGTTGGAATATTCGAAGGCTGAAGGTTGACACTCTTGCTCCTTGGACAAAAGTGTCGAGCAAGGCTTCTCGCATATAGAGGTCGTCACGGTATCAAAATACAGCCTTTCCAGCTACCGACATCTACCAAACGAATACTGCGAACAGGTGACGAGCAGAAAAACATCGCGCCTCTTTTTGGCGTCTCCTTCACTGTCAACGACAGATTTTCGCGCATCGGCTTCTCTTCTTCGTTTTTCACATTCTTTTTCACATTCAGCATCTTGTCCTATCAAGCAAGAAAGCAACGCGATCTCTCTTCTACCACCAAACTCTCCCCCTAGAAACTTCGCCGTCCTTAATAGATGTCTCCAGCATCTGTCACAATGATGACCCCCAAAGTTCTCGCCCGCTCACCACATCTCCCTGTCCATGGTAGCACTCTCTTTCCCCTCCGCAGCGACGTCCAAATCGTCCACGAACCTCCTGCCAAAGCGGCTGCTATCCTATCATCGATCAACGAGAAGCAGACCGGCGATGACTACAAATGGAGGCATTATTCTGTACATCTGCGCCAACCATCCGAAATGCAAGCATCTCTGGGCCCATCACCTGGGTGGAAAAGCCAAAAGGCCCCACCCAACTAATCAATGTTGCGAAGTACAAGGAGTTGGCGGTGAGGAAGATGTGCACCAACTGTGATTTGGCGGAATAGGTGGTGGTCGACGAGGCTGAGGAATGGGTTGGAGTACGACGAACGTGTCATAGGCAAACGAACGGTAGGGAGAGCTAGCGTTTGTGGAGGCATCTCTTTTCATGCGCATAGCGGACCTGCCTCGCGTCTAGAGAAGGCGCCGCGTCCATGAGGAGAAACAATGAAACCATCTTCATGAAATCCATCGTACTCATCCTGAGGCCCAGAATGTCAATCTGGCCACCTATTTTTCTCGTGTTGTCACGTCAGTGTACATCGGTGAACAGGAACATAGTGACACCATACAGGGCGCCTCTGCTAATCTCCCCAATCTCTTCTTTTACCGCTGGATGTCTCCCGGGGGAATGCCGAATATGGTGATGCAAATCTGTGAAGTCAAAATATACACATCTAGGGCGGGAAAGGCCCACATCGCCAACTGTGGAAGCATCAGGCAAGTTTCCCGAGGCGGATGGCGAACGTTTCTATCACGACCATCATTAATATCGAGGACGGAGTACGTTACCATCACCATCCTACGTCAAGGGGTTCTGTGCCATTATTCTCGGTGGGACTGTGGCCAGGGACAAGATGGCTGTCGAAGGCGCGGAGCAGATGATCCACCGGGATCCTGCCCTGTTGTGAGTTGTTTCGCCAAACGCGACGTTTGCTCTTTACTGACCTGCTTCAAAAGCTATTGGATCTTGCTGCCTATCACCATCGTGATGATATTGACCGGGGTTCTCCGACACTATGCCTCGGTTCTACTACAAACTCCGCCAAAACCTCCGAACAGTCTCCCTGAGTCTCGTGAACGACAAGCGCTTCTCCGGGGTATCAACCTGCGGAACAACGCTGCCGCCGCGGTGACGACACCTTCATTTACCCGCCGAAAAGAATACCTTGTCGATGGCTACCACAAAGGGACATTTTTGAAAGGTGGACCAGATTCCAAGGATCAAGGTGCAGCAAATCCCATGTCTGATCCTGCGGCCATGGAGGGTATGATGGGAATGATGAAAGGAAACATGGCCATGATGATACCTCAGACTCTGATCATGTCCTGGATTAATGCCTTCTTCGCCGGCTTCGTCATTCTCAAGCTGCCTTTCCCACTCACTATTCGATTCAAATCCATGTTGCAGTCTGGCGTTATGACCCGAGATTTGGATGTCAGATGGGTGTCCAGTTTGTCGTGGTACTTTCTGTGCCTCTTTGGCCTTCAAAGCGTGTTTATCTTCATTCTCGGCAATGAAAACGCAGCCAGCCAGATGGCCCAGCAGATGGCGCAAATGAACCCGGGTTCAAATGCCAATCCGTTCGGTCCCGGCCAGGAGCCTCATAAAATGTTCCAGGCGGAGGCAGAAAACCTGGAAGTTTTGGATCATTGGAGTATTCTTGACGGTGCAGAGGATCGGTTGCTGCGGATCTATGCCAGCTAGATCTAGCGGCCTATAAGACCTGGACGTCGCGGCCTCCCATTCCTTGGAATTTTCGCCTGTTCCTCACTCTTCAATAACTTGCTTCGCCCCCAACCGGCAACTGTTGAAGATTCACTAGGCCGCCAATCTGTCGAACTAGGCGCAAATCCGGGATATTTGCTTGTAATAGCTTGGACTCTAAGGGAATCCAGCTGCCGGTATAAACCATCCGTTGGGGGAATATCACCTACCCGCCCATGAAGGCCGATATGGTTTCTTGAAACATGAGTAGCTGACCGATACGTGCGTTACGCCACAGCGTGGAAAATATACCCGCTCACAAGTAGAGCACCCTTGGTGCGGAGTTGAGTCTTTGAGATCAACATTGAACTATTCCCAGACTCCGAACAGGCGGCCTCTAGCATTGCAGAATTGGACCCGTCACCGAGGGATAACTTTGCAGATGATGCGGCGAATAGAGAGTGGTGTGCATTCCAGGAAATTAGCCTGCATTGGGGTGGACGGGAAATGCATAGCTTGCTCAAGATTGTGACTCGTGTCTATTGGGGTATCGTTCTGTGCTATGCTCTGTTCGCCAAAAAAGGGATTCTTGATGTCTTGACCATGCTCAATCATGCGCTACAACTCCAATCCGCCCTCGATCATCGTTCACACGTGCGTTTTCTCCAGCACCCTGGCCAATTCATCGACTTCTTTATCTTTTTCCTCCGCTACCTCCTCCTCCTCCGCCTCCTCGGCCTCTTTGAGGACTCTCTCTGCTAGTTCTTCCTCTTCCTCTTCCTCCTCTTCTTCTGCCGCCTCTTCTTCCTCTTCCTCTTCTTCTTCTCCTTCTAGTTCATCCAAGTCGTCTAGTCCCCAATGGTCTTCTGGATCCTCCTCCTTTCCAAGCTCATCTTTTCTGTCGCTTAACAGCACTGCTAACTCTTCAATCGAAGGATCCTCTTCCTCAAACTTGTTCCCGTTCAGTTCCACTCGTCGTAACCTGGGTAAATCATATTTTGCAGCTCTCAGGAGGGTCTTCACCCCAGCTGGGGTGATGTCGTTGTACTGCAATCTGAGAATTTCCACCCTTTCATTACCTCCTCCGGAAAAAGACTCGAAAACTTTGATTGCGCCGCGAGCGCCCAGCAGGTCGTCGCCGACACCGAGTTCTTTGAGATTCGACCAACCACTCAGTGCCTTTGCCAGGGCTTGTGCACCTTTCAAGGTGAACGTATTGTCTTGCATGTCCAGAACCTCAAGATTTTCGCATTTTGATAGTCCAGACGAGATTAGGTGGGAGATACCCTCGGGTCGAATACCATTTTGCGTCATTTTCACGCTTTTAATTCCGATTCTGTGTGCCTCGTATGCCTTTGCCCAGGCGGGCATACTTCCGTTCTCCAACCTGTTACGGCCACATACGATGCTTTCCAGGTGCGGTACATCCTTGCCTTCTTTTCTAGCCGCCTCCTTCCTCTCCGCAAGTTTAATGAGCGCTTCGGCAATGGCAGTACCCGCGAGGGGACCCATGCCGTTATTATTCAAGACCAGGTGCTTTAGCGGGATGTGTTTCGATAGAAAATCCACCAGAGGATCTTTCGTGTTGAGACCGAACGCATTGTCGCTTAGATCTATTGTGTGAAGGTTGGGGCATTCGAGTAAGGCGTCGAGAAGAGAGGATAATGCTGGTGGGATTTCGTCGAGGAGACGAGAGGTGAAGATGTCGTGTAGATCGGCGCTCTGGAGAGTCGACTTTGAGGCCAAGATAGGTGCGAGGGCAGCGCACGCAGAAACGCCCAACGTATTTCCAGAGAGATCGATGTGGGTGACCGAGGAGGACGATGTGAGGAGGTCAATGTGCTTCTCGAGATCTTCCTTGGTGTCGATTTTGAGGCCTTTGCCGGCGAGGGAGAAGGTCGATGAGGCTTCCTCACCCATCTTTGTGAGATATATGATAGATTGCTATTGTGGAAAGAAGGAATAAGTTATGAGAATCAGACAGAAGAGTGTTGATCTTAAATTAAAACAAATAGTCAAGACCCTTGCTCAATTCTAGAATGCAGGATCACTTGGCGCATGTCACTTTCGTCTTAACTTAACGCGGCGGGCGGCTTTTGCGACGTGTTGTTTTACAGGCGACTTGAGACAGCGCTGCAGCCTCATGCCAGCCATGTAATCGAGCAGCTTGCGTCGCGATGAGGAGTCCTGTTGATCACCGGGCTTGCTTATTGCTTGCTTTCGCGCTATGTCTCTGTCGGGCGAGCGAAACTGCCTTCAGTGTCAACGACGACCTGTTCGCATTTCCTCAGGTACTTGCTGTCTCCCGGTGTGTTGCGTTTCAACGCTGACGACGCTATAGTATAGCATTGAATTCCCAAATTCATACATACTTGACACAGATGCCACAGACCTGCTGGACCGGCGGCCGAGGGAAGCCACATCTGGTAATCCACAGTCAGCGCAGGCATATCTGAAGGATGTCTCCGCGAGCATCAACCCGAAGACGAACGATGGCTCCATAACAGAAGACTCAATGCAGTCGGGCTCTTATGGACGCCTCTTTCTCCATGGATATCCCCATCTGTGCTTTATCCCGGAAGTGAAAGAGGCGGTTGACAATCGGACTCCTTCAGAACCGTCTGCGGCAGATCGTGAGGAAGACTTGGACAAGGCCGTTGCAAGGGCGTCGCAGTTACTGCAGGGCATGGCCTCGAATCAATGCCTATACTACTCTACAGGATGGTGGACCTATTCATTCTGCTACAACTCCCAGGTAACCCAATTTCACGCTCTCCCACCAGGTACCAATGGAAGGATATGGCCACCGCAGGAAGACCCCACAACGCCTAGCTACGTTTTGGGCAAATTCAAACCTCAGAAACC